ATTCAAGATTCTTAGGGACTTGACAGGGGAGATGGAGAAAAGTTGTTCCTCCTGTGGGACAGACGAGACCCAGAAGGCATAATCTGAGGTCTCACATTTAAGGCACAGATGAGAAGGAATTTCTTTTCTCAGTTCTTCACTGGAGTTCTTTACTGCAGAGGGTTGTTGAGGCTGGGTTGTTAGGTATATTCAAGGCTGTGATAGATTTTTTTAACTAGTAAGGGAATTGGAGGTTGTAGGAAAACAACAGCAACGTGGAGTTGAAGATTCAGATCAACCATGATTTCACTGAATGAGGGAGCAGATGTGATAGGTTGAATGGCCTACTTCTGCTCTTACATTTGATGGTCACATTATAGCAGTGGTTTCCCATGGTTCAGTTTCAAGCCAGCTTTAATATTAGAAAGGAAAATTGGCATTTATGTGGCACATTTCTTGATATCAGGAAATTCCAAATCCTTCGCTGCTAATTGGATATTTTTGAAATGTAGTTATTGTTGAATGCAGCAATCAATTTACACTCAGCAAGCTTGCACAAATAAAAATGATAATGACCAGGTAATTTAGTTTACAGTGCCCTGTTTGCAGACAGAAAGATTACATACATGCACTGGGACTGTTTCCATTCACCAGAATAGGTGGCAGCCATTTACTGATTTCTTGTTCAAGGTTTTGATTCTGCTTTCTGCGGATAAACTGCCTGATTTAAAATTTAAATAAAACCTGGCTGTTAACTGTCAATCAGTATTAATGGGTGCATTCTCCATGGTAATGCCTCCATCAGTCAGAGTCCACTTGCCAACCAATCATACTTTCCTCTCATGCAGAATAAATGTTGGTTTTTCCCTTGACTTTACATCCTTGTGAATTGTCCTGTTGAGTTGCAGCGGGCACTGAGTGGTCTGGGGTGGCACGGTGGCTCAGTGGTTAGCACTGCTACCTCACAGTGCCAGGGACCCAGGTTCTATTCCACTCTCAGGTAACTGTCTATGTGGAGTTTGTACATTCTCCCCATATTTGCCTGGGTTTCCTCCAGGTGCTGCAGTTTCCTCCCACAGTTCAAAGATGTGCATGTTAGGTGGGTTGAGCAATTTAGCATGGCCATAGTTCCAGGAATGTGTAGCTTAGGTGGATTAACCATGGGAAATGCAAGGTTACAAGGATAGAGTGGGGTCTGGGAAGGGTCTGAGTGGGATGCTGTTCAGAGGATCAGTGTGGTCTCAATGGTGTAATTCCACACTATAAGGATTCTATGATGAGTGCAAGACAAAAAGTTTCCACAAAGTGGATCATTTTTCAGCATTTCTCAAGTTCTGTACTATCAAATGGTTATAGTTGAATTTAGTGATGATGATTAAGAGTCAACTATCAGCCTCAGAGACAGTGATCAATTCCTTTACTCTTTCCATAAGAGTGCAAGAGCATCTTTTATGCACAACTAAGAGGACAGTCAAAGCTGAATGGTTTATTTCTCTTCCTATGTTTTGTGGTTTTAACATCTGACCTGAAAGATGGTACTACTGACAGTACAACACTTCCTCAGTACTGTGCTAGTGTACGAGCATTGTTTTTCATTCTTAAGCTCTAGGCTTGAATGTAAACTCAATACACCTTGACTCTGAAAAAGAGCGCTACCCATAGCTGACACTACTGTGAAAGAAAATGTAATTAATCCTGGGAAGGCCTAACTTTACAAAAGCACAGTCCATTCATGGCAGTCAAGATTGTAGCTACATGTTCAAATCCTACTTTTCAGTTCTTTTATAAATCCAGTACTCTCTTACTACTGAATCTATTTCCATTATGTTTAAAAACTGTGCCTTCCAGATCACAACTATTCCCTGCATAAAAAAGGTTTCCTCATGTTGCCCCCCCACCAAACCCCATTGTTTTGTCAATCATCTGAAAATAATATCTTCCAGTTACCAAACCTCTGTGACTAGTGATTTATTTACTCCATCAAAATTCTTCATGTTTTATTTGGTGCATCTGTCACATCTTTTCTAAATATTCTCTGCTCTGAGGAGAAAGAAAAAACTGATTTTCTTATCCTCTTAAAATGAATTGGAGTCTCTCACTCTTGTTATGCTTTAGGTAAATCTTTGTTGCACCCTCTCTAATATCTTGATATCCTTCCTTGGGTGTAGGACCCAGAATTGAACACAAACTCCAGCTAGTGCCTAGTTACTGTTTGATGAAAATGGTGACTCTCCTGCTCCTCTGATGCTGCCTGACCTGCTGTGTTCCTCTGGCTCCATACAGTATTGACTAAGAAGTTGTCCTCCTCCCTCCGAAAAGATCTCAGTGGATCTCTCTCCCACTGCAACCCACTGGTGATCTCCTCTGCCCTGAAGCTCTTCAAACACAAACTGGAACAAACACGTTACTACAGCCACGTCTCCTTCCTCAGTACCTGCCTGTGCAACTGACTCATCCCCCATAGACTCCAAACAACATTCAGACCATCCCAATTTGGGCCAAATTGCAACAACCATTATCTCCAGTACATCCAGAGCCTCCAGAAACAGTTTTCTGTGCGGATCCTCAGCTCCATGCTCACAGCCATGTGCCAGCATCTTCTCTCACCGCAGTCAGCCCTACCCCAGCTCAGAGCAAGTCCTGAAGAAGGGTCCTGATCCGAAATGTTGACTTTCCTGCTCCTCTGATGCTGCCTGATATGCTATGTTCCTCCAGCTCCACATTGTATTGACTGTTTGTTTTATATAGGCTTAGCTTAGCTTTTTTGCTTTTGTCCTCTATTGACTAAGTGCAGATTTGCATGTGCTTTTTCAACAGCCTATTCAATTTGCCCTGTTGCCTTCAAAGAATTGTGTACACAAATCTCCAGGTTCCTCTGTTCCTTCACACACTTTAATATTGTCATTATATTATCTCTCCTCATCCTTCAGCAAAAAAGCATTGTTCTGTTGGATCTTATTTGTCACCCACTGACCTGACTAGTTTTTCACCATAGACTTGAGTGAAGTGTGCAGGAATATTTGTTAGCCTTTTGCTGTACTCTTGCTAAATTGCACACTATCTTTTACGGTATATTTTCTCTATCTCCCAGCCCTATAATCATTTTGTGTCATCTACCATGTTCCCTTTTGAATTTGCTGATGTTCACTACACTCTATTCATTATGTCTCAAATAAAGATATCGAATCTAGATAAATCCATTTGCATTGTTCACTACTGCTGCCACCTCATCCCCCACCACCACACCCCTGACTGTTTCTGACCTTGAATCTGTCCCCCTTTGCTAACAACAAAATCATTATTACCACCGTTTATATATTGATTTGGATCTGGAACTCTGTTGCAGGGATAGTAGCAATACTCAGACCATACTTCTGATCTTCACTTCATGAAAGCCCTGTTTATAAACTTTAAGGAATTTAGCAAAGCAACAATCCAGTTTACCTAGGGAAGGTTTAAGCTGTAGCTGCACAGTTTAAGTCATCTAAGATAATCTGGTGAGTAGGCCCAAAGGGACTGGGTAGTTCAGTAAGGTAGAACAGGGGCCATTCATACCTAGAATTGGGTTTGTGTGTGTATATAAGCCAATGTAAGCACTTTATGCCACAGGCAGCATCTACTTACTCCGTCTGGGTTTGCCAAAACCCCAGGATTGTCCTGGAGTCTCCAGGAATTAAAAACATTCAAGGGCACTGCAGCAAGCCAAACACTGGAGAAAAAGAAAAATGGGGTCATTAAAAGTGGTGTTTTTTTAAAAAATTTTTTTTTGAACACATTGACTTATTAATTGTCGTAAGACAGGAATTGGAAGAGGACAGGAATCATTGAAATGGTTAATGAAGGATCTGTTCATTCGCCAACTGGCTAAGGGAGATTGTCATGGCACACTGTGACCTGTTTAACAACTGATGATGTGAGCAAGGATATAGGGTTGGGAGAAGTGGGGCTCCATGTCATGAAACCTTGAGGACTACACCGAACAGAGTTGTCAACCCTAGTTCTGTCTCTGTGCCAATGGTGAATGGCAGAAAACAGTAATTCTATAATGCAAATTCAGTCTACTGCTTAGAGTTAGGATGACAGAATCTTCAAAGTCAAACTACATAGTAACTCCCTCCCTATACTTGATACACCACACAGACTGCTGCAATTCAAGAAGTTGACTCACCATCACCTTCCAAAGGGAAGGGCAATAAATGCTGTCCCGGGCGGTAATGGCCACATGCTAAGAATGATCAATTGTTTTGAAAGGTCCCCTTATCATCTTCAGCACCTTGATCAGATCACCTTTACTGAAGGATATATAAGCCAAGTTTATGCAAACTTACCTTCCAAAAAAAAAAATCTGTAAGTCCTGAAAAGAGGAAGACAACTTGGAAGTGAAGAGGTTTAGGGCAGGATTTCCAGAGCTTGGAGCTTGTGCAACTGAAAAATTCAATTGTGCAAAAAACTCAAACTGAATGGACACAGATCTTGGCAGGTTGTAAAGATTAGGCTGATACAGAGAAATGGGGCATGGATTGAAGAGCTGTAGAAGAATTTTAAATTGAGATGTTGTGGATGAGGAACCAAAGCAGGTCAGCGAATCGAAGGTTGGTAGGTAAACAGGCTGTGTTTCAGATACAGGCAACAGACTTCTGGAGAAACTGAAGTTAACAGAAGCAGAAACAAGAGGTGGGAGACTTTTGTCCTGCAGCACAATTTGAATTTGTGTGCACTTTTACTGTAGGACAATTTCCCAGGCATCTTGTGAAACAAATGCTTACATAGTACATCAGTATCTTAGGCTCAGGAATGAAGACAAGACTAATACCCATAAAATGAGCTAAATTTATTCTTTATAAATTGGAGTCTGTAAGGCTCTAATCTGTCTCACAGGAGGTCATGTCTTGAGAACAACAGCTCGGTGAAAATGATGGTGAATAATTGGATTGCCAATAAAGAAGATTGTACTGTCTAATTAATTACAATGCTGCTGGATTATGGAATCACTCATGATTATTTTGTTTGTTTCTCCCCAGATAAAACATGTACCACTCCATCGTGTGTATCCGCAGGTAAGTCCATTTAAAAAAAAATAGCAAAGTGACATTAATATATCCACATCAGCCCATCTCTCAAATTTTGCCCCCACAGTGTGAAACACAATAACTCCCAGGTTGGCCATAAAATAAGGAAAACATTAAAGGACAGTCTCATTCTCCTTATAGAATGTAGTGCACTGAATGGGGCTCCACCGGCTGCCTCAGGGAAGTAGAGTTATCTCCTACGCTCTGCCATTTTAATCCACCCTCCAAACTCTGAATGCAGAGCCCAATGGCAAATTAAGTCTCCACAGCAACAGGTCCCTCAAGCACTTTGTTCTGCCTCTAGTCAATGCAGACTCCCATCAGACTGCCTCCACATCTTTTAGCTGTTGCTGTTTACCACACAGTCTGCTTGTTTCAGCCTGTATTAAATGCTATTGCCCTCACCTGCTACAGATCTTTCCTTTTTATTGCACTTGCACAAAACGTTACTGACATATTACAGTCTGTAAGCCTTTGACAAAAACTGAAATTGTTGGAGAAGCCAGTGTCAATTGTCTGATTTAATTACATGTCCATAGTCATTTAGTTTGAGTTGAACCATCTGGTCTCTCATATCTAGAAACGATGGACAGTGGCAGAATTACCTTGGGAATTTAGCCCATTTTTTTAGCTCTGTTGCCATGGCACCAGTAAAATATCTGCCAATGGTGTATGCATTCCTGTGACTTTGTTTATTCTATCGGTTTGACCAGGTATAGAAGGGTAACAGACTGTCTCTCTTTTCCAACTCCGCATTTGAATGCAAGAGTTTTCCTAAATAGAAGTATTCTGGATTGCCAATTGAGTATGTATATGACCATTTACAGTCTTGTAAGAAATGGACGGGTACTGTTGAGTTGAATAAGTAAGCAGTTAGTTTTATTGCTAAAGCCCACTCGGATAAAAATGTACAAATTTATCTTGCTTCTCACAAATGCACCCAAAAATACTGAAGCTGCAAAATATGCAGAAAGAAACAACTTTACACAATATCAAATCTTTCAATTTGGCCAAGTAAAGGCAAAATCAATAAAAGGTTCACTGACTGGTTATAACTGCATGTTTTGGTTCTCACTTAAACAGTTGCTTTGCAATAGTGGCTGATCGGTACTCTTCTCTGGGATTCACTGATGATGAATTGAAATCTTCCTTTGTAGCAAGATGGTTTCCTGATTGGTTTCCAAACCAATAATCTGGCTCAGATCAGAGAGTTCAGAGAATAGATTTGGTCTGGCAATGTATAAATTATCAGCCCAAATTTAAATTTGAACATTTGCCTAAAATGTTGCATCCCATGATCTCTCCAATGTTGGCTGTCTATTCTAGTGAATATAAAGGATTGACTCATGCCTCACACTGTTCTCATTAGCCATCATTTCATAGTCAAGGTTATTTTAAAACATTCATTCATTCACAGGATGTGGGTGTCAGTAGCTAGGCTAGTATTTACTGCTCATTCCTAATTGCCCAGAAGCTGTTAAGAGTCGACCACATTACTATGGCTTTGTAGTCACATGTAGGCTAGACCAGGTTAGAATGAGATTTCTTTGGTTAACCAGATGGGGTTTTACAACAATCAGCAATAGTCACGCTTTCACCATTAGACGAGCTCTTTATTTCAGGTTTTAATAGATTCAAATTTCACCGCCTGTCATGGTGAGATTTGAACACATATCCTTAAGTCAATGGAGATTGCTAGTCAAGTGACATTACCATTGCCTCCCTATAATTATTCTTTAAATTTTCCGGGCACTGCTTCTGAATGATCCATCCTCCAATTTAGTGAGATAGGAAGGAGTCAGATCACTCTCTAAGATCTTGGATAACATTCTTTGTTTCAGTGACATGTCCTTTTCTGTTGATTTTTTTTAACAAAATAGTACGATATGTGAAAACAGCTGAGGAAATTACAGTTTACTATTTCCTACAATCCACCTTCATAGATAACATTGAAGTGTTGAGGCTCTGGGTCAGTTTAAAATAAGTCAAAATGGATGCTGATAGATTTTTCTTGGGCAAAGGTGGTGGCGTTAAGATACAGCCAATTTGAATGGTGGAGCAGGTTCAAGGGGCTAACCCTATATGCTGACAAGAAATGCTTGCAAAGCCAATGTCATAGAGTCATAGAGTCACACAGCGCAGAAACTGACTCTTCAGTCCAACCAGTCCATGCCAGACATAATCCTGAACTAAACTAGTCCCACCTGCCTGCTGCTAGCCTATATCCCTCAAAAGTTTTCCTATTTATATACTTATCCAAATGTCTTTTCAACATTTTAGTTGCATCCATATCCACCACTTCCTCAGGAAGTTCATTCCACACACGAACCAGACTCTGTGAAAAAAAATTGCCCCTCATGTCTTTTTTAAATCTCTCTCCTCCCGCCTTAAAAATGTGCCCCCTTGTCTTGAAATCCCCCACCCTAGGGGAAAGACAATTACCATTAATCCTATCTATATCTCACATGATTTTAAAGGAACGAATGTTAAAAAAAATCACCATTTCCTGTTCCTATTTACCTATGAGTGGTTTGCCACTTATTGTCCATCCTTAAAATTAACCTCTTGAGCCCACTCCACCATTCTGTTCAACTGTTGCTGATCTGTACCTTAACTCCATTTACCCTACTTGGTCCCATAACGCTTGCCTAACAAAATATCTATCAGCCTCTGTTTTGATTTTTTTACTGAACCACAGCAAAATGGAGCACCTATTATAAAACAAAAATGAAACCTTGTATTTAAATAGTGCCTTTCATAGCAACCATCTACTCATTTGTTGATATGAATCACTATATGAATCAATAGTGTCCTCCTTGAAGTGTAGTCACTGTTGTAATATAGAAAACACAACAGGCAATTCGTACACAACAAGGTCCCGCAAGCAGCAATGTGATGATTGTTTTTGTGATGATTGGGGGATAAGTATTGGCCAGAGCACCAGCTATACCTCCCCTGTTCTTATTCAAAATAATGTCAGGGCATCTTTTAAGTTCTCGTGAGAGTGCAGAAAGAGGCACTGGTTTTAAAATCTCAGCCAAAAGAAAAGATAAATTGTTAAATACACTGCGTCACTTAACCACCAAAGGAATCCTTATCCTGACATGCTTCATACACTTTCTGATCTTCATGGAAAATTCATGGCATTTTTTAAACTTTCTTCTTCCTTTCACCCCTCAGCTGCCCGTATCGTGGCGAATATGGACCAAGCTGCAGATCCTTGCAACAATTTTTATCAGTATGCCTGTGGAGGATGGTTGAAGAAGCATGTCATCCCTGAAACCAGCTCCCGATATAGTACTTTTGACATTCTGAGAGATGAATTGGAAGTCATCTTGAAAGGTCGGTCGTAGTTTTAGAAATCTAACATTAAGATTGAGCACCGAAAATGTTTTACAGGCCACATTGCCTTCTTTAATACAGTCAATAATTTCAAGTTAGAATCATAGAATTGTTAAAGCAAGGTAGGAGACCTACTGTGTTGCTCTCATCAACTCCCGTTCCTATTTTATCAAAAGCTCCATGCCTTTATTGGTCAGTGCATTGCGTATAGGAGTTGGGAGGTCATGTTGCAGTTGTCCAGACTTTGGTTAGGCCACTTTTGGAATGCTACATTCAGTTCTGTTAAGATGTTGTTCAACTTGAAAAGGTTCAGAAAAGATTTACAAGGATGTTGCCAGGGTTGGAGAGTTCGAGCTATAGGGAGAGGCTGAATAGGCTGGGGCTATTTTCCCTGGAGTGTCAAAGGCTAAGGGTTGACTTTGTAAGAGGTTTATAAAATCATGAGGGGCATGGATAGGGTGAATAGACACGGTCTTTTCCCCAGGGTAGAGGAGTCCAAAACTAGAGGGCATACGTTTAAAATGAGAGGGGAAAGAATTTAAAGGGAGCTGAGGGGCAACTTTTTCATGCAGAGGCTGGTGCGTATATGGAAATGTGCTGCCAGAAAAAGTGGTGGAGGCAGGTACAACTACAACATTTAAAAGGAAGGATTTAGAGGGATATGGACCAAATGCTGGCAAATGGGACGAGATTAATTTATGTGGTTGGTATGGATGAGTGGGATCAAAGGAACTGTTTTCCTGCTGTAAATTTCTATGACTCTAAGTTAGTTAAACACAATTGATCCATGTCAAATCCATGCTGGCTTTCATAATCTAACCCAAATGTTATTTTTATTTTATTCATTTATGAAATGAGCTTGTGTCTGACTAGGCCAGCGTTTACCGTCCATCCTTAATTACCCAGAGGGCAGTTAAGAGTCAACCTCATTGCTGTGGCTTTAGAGTCACAAGTAGCCAGGCTATGTGAGGGTGCCAGTTTCCTTTCCTAAAGGACATTAGTGAACTACATGAGTTTTCCTGACAATCAACAATAGATTCATGGTCATCATTAGACTCTTATTTCCAGATTCTCATTGAATTCAGATTCCACCATCTGTCGTGATAGGATTCAAACCCAAGTCCCCAGAACATTTCCAGGGTCTCTGGGTTAACAGTCCAGTGATAATACCACTAGGCCTGCCCTTATTTGCACATGTAATTATTAATTTTGTCCCAAAGAATCATTTTTATAAGCTTCCACATGACTAAGATTGAACTTGCTGGCCTGTAGTTGCTGGTTCTTTCTTTACACCTTTTTTGCACAAGTGTGTGATAATTGCAATTCTCCACTCCTCTGGCCCCATTTGAGTCTGAGGAAGATTGGAAAACTGTGGCCAGGGTCTGCACAATTTCTACACTCACTTCCCTTCATATTCCTGGAGCCATCTCATCCTGTTTTGGTACCTTTTCAACTTAAAGTACACACAGCCTATCCAATACCTCCCCCTTATCAATTGTAAACTCTTTAAGTAATTAAACTAACCCTTTTTCCCCATGACCTGTTCAAAATCTCCTTCCTTGATAAAGATCAACAAAATGTTCTTTTAGTACTGAACTATGATCCCTAGTCCACAAAAACACATTGTGGTTTATAATTGGCCCCCCTCCTCCTTTTACAGCCCTTTGAAAACTCTTTTGCTATTTATATGGTAGAAGACTTTGTTGGCTGCCAGGGTCTATTCACACTCTGCTTTTTTTGCAATTTCCCTCAACCTTCTATATTCAGTCTGGCTCATGGTTGTAATATCCATCTGAGATTTGTCAAAGGCATTTTTTTTTCATGTAAATCTCTATCTCTTTTTCTCTTCCAGGAAACTTTGAGTTTGTTTTCCCTACCATTTTCCTTTGTGGTCATATGCCATGACTTTCTATCTCCTCTTTATAGGGGTAGCCCAATGTTCAGTTATAGTCTTGCCTGTCAACCCTTGATTCCAATTTGTGTCTGATTCATTCTCATTCCATTGAAGTTCATTGAACAAAGAACAAAGAAAATTACAGCATAGGAACAGGCCTTTCGGCCCTCCAAGCCTGCAGTGACATGCTGCCCTTCACAACTAAAACCTCCTACCCTTCCAGGGACCGTATCCAAAAGAACAAAGAACAAAGAACAAAGAAAATTACAGCACAGGAACAGGCCCTTCGGCTCTCTAAGCCTGCGCCGATCCAGATCCCCTATCTAAACCTGTTGCCTATTTTTCAAGGATCTGTATCCCTCTGCTCCCTGCCCGTTCATGTATCTGTCCAGATACATTTTAAATGAAGCTATCGTGCCCGCCTCTACCACCTCCATTGGCAACGCATTCCAGGCACCCGCCACCCTCTGCGTAAAGAACTTTCCACGCATATCTCCCTTAAACTTTTCCCCTCTCACCTTGAAATCGTGACCCCTAGTAATTGAGTCCCCCACTCTGGGAAAAAGCTTCTTGCTATCCACCCTGTCTATACCTGTCATGATTTTGTAGACCTCAATCAGGTCCCCCCTCAACCTCCGTCTTTCTAATGTAAATAATCCTAATCTACTCAACCTCTCTTCATAGCTAGTGCCCTCCATACCAGGAAACATCCTGGTGAACCTCCTCTGCACCCTCTCCAAAGCATCCACATCCTTTTGGTAATGTGGCGACCAGAATTGTGCGCAGTATTCCAAATGTGGTCGAACCAAAGTCCTATACAACTGTAATATGACTTGCCAACTCTTGTACTCAATATCCCATCCGATGAATGAAAGCATGCCGTATGTCTTCTTGCCCACTCTATCGACCTGCGTTGCCACCTTCAGGGTACAATGGACCTGAACACCCAGATCTCTCTGTGCATCAATTTTTCCCAGGGCCATCCCTCTATTCCCCTCCTATTCATGTATTTGTCAAGGTGCCCTTTAAAAGTCACTATAGTATCTGCTTCAACTACCTCCCATGGCATCGAGTTCCAGGCACCCACCACCCTCTGTGTAAAAAAACTTGCCTCATACATCACCTTTAAACCTTGCCCCTCACAACTTAAACCTATGGCCCCTAGTAACTGACTCTTCCACCCTGGGAAAAAGCTTCTGACTCTCCACTCTGTCCATGCCCTTCATAATCTTGTAGACCTCTATCAGGTCGCCCCTCAACCTCTGTCGTTCCAGTGAGAACAACCCAAGTTTCTCCAAACTCTCCTCATAGCTAATGTCCTCCATACCAGCCAACATCCTGGTAAATCTTTTCTGTAGCCTTTCCAAAGCCACCACATCCTTCCAGTAGTGTGGCCACCAGAATTGAACATAATATTCCAAATGCAGCCTAACTAAGGTTCTATAAAGCTGCAACATTACCTGCCAATTTTTAAACTCAATGCCCTGGCCGATGAAGGAAAGCATGCCATATGCCTTTTTGCCTACCTTCTCCACCTGCGTTGCCACTTTCAGTGACCTGTGTACCTGTACACCCAGATCCCTCTGCCTATCAGTACTCTTTAGGATTCTGCCATTTACTGCATATTTTCCATCTTGATTAGACCTTCTGAAATGCATTACCTTACATTTTTTCCAGATTAAATTCCATCTGCCATCTCTCTGCCCAAGTCACCAACTGTTCTCTCTCCCACTGTATCCTTTGCCGGTCCTTATCGCTACCCGCAATTCCACCAATCTTTGTGTCATCGGCAAACTTACTAAACAGACAAGTTACATTTTCCTCCACATCATTTATATATGCTACAATTAGCAAAGGTCCTAACACTGATCCCTGAGGAACGCCACTAGTCACAACCCTCCATTCAGAAACACACCCTTCCACTGCTACCCTCTGTCTTCTATGATCAAGCCAGTTTTTTTATCTATCTTGCAAGCTCACCTCTGACCCCGTGCGACTTTACCTTCTGTATGAGCCTGCCATGAGGGACCTTGTCAAAGGCCTTACTGACATCCATGTAGACAACATTCACTGCCCTACTCTCATCAATCATCTTCGTCACTTCCTCAAAAAAATCAACCAAGTTAGTGAGACATGACCTCCCCTTCACAAAACCATGTTGCTTCTCGCTAATACGCCCATTAATTTCCAAGTGTGAGTAAATCCTGTCTCAAAGAATCCTCTCCAATAATTTCCCTACCACTGACGTAAGGCTCACCAGCCTGTAATTAACTGGATTATCCTTGCCACCTTTCTTAAACAAAGGAACAACATTGGCTATTCTCCAGTCCTCTGGATCTCCCCTGTAGCCAGTGAAGATACAAAGATTTCTCTCAAGGCCCCAGCAATTTCCTCCCTTGCCTCTCTCGGTATTCTGGGGTATATCCCATCAGACCGTGGGGACTTGTCTACCTTAATGTTTTTTCAAGACCCTCAATACCTCCTCCCTTTTAATCTCAACATGACCCAAACTATCTGCACACCCTTCTCCAGACTCATCATCTATCAAGTGCTTCTCTATGGTGAATACTGATGCAAAGTACTCATTTAATTCCTTGTCCATTTCCTCTAGCTCCACACGTAAATCCCCTTCCCTGTCCTTGAGTGGGCCAACCCTCTGCCTGGCTACCCTCATGCTCTTTATATATGTATAAAAAGCCTTGGGATTTTCCTTAATCCTGTTGCTCCCAAGTTAATCTTGTCATTTTTAATAAACAACCTAAACATTAGGGATGCAGTTTTCCTCTCCTTGGAGGAGGTGACAAGGGGATTACTATTTTGCCAGGACCAACTCTCCCTATTATTTCTTCTTCTCACCATGTCAAAGAGTCTTTTTCACCCATTAACAATTAAGGCCCTTAAGTAGTCAATTCATGGCCACTGAGAACCCATTGATAATCCATGCTGACACAAGGAGAATGTGCAAACTCGACATAGACAGTTGCCTGAGAATGGGATTGAACTCAGGTTTCTGGCCCTGTGAGGCAGCAGTGCTAACGACTGAGCCACCATGCCACCCAACTGGAAAAAAGCAAATCGTATCAAATTTTCCCTGCCTTACCCACAC